TCATCGGCAGCCCTTGCTGCTGCCTCGTCATGCTGGCGCTGTTGTTCAAGTGCTAGCAGACGTGCCTGCTCGGCATCCTTTGCCTTCTTCTTCGCCGCTGCTGCTGCGTCATCCGCCCGTTTCTTTGTTTCGGTACTCCAAGCCAGCATCCGGGCCTGATAGGCCTCGTCTGCTTCTCCGGACCTCTGGTCCATGACGGTTGTTTGTGACCGCAACAACATATACCAGGCTGGGGGCCTGCTGACGTGGTATTTCCTGCTCTGTCGGCTGACGTGGCCTGCTGACATGTCCTGCTGACGTGGCCTGCTGAGGTGGTCTGCTGGTGTGTCCTGCTGACGTAGTCTGCTCACGTGGCCTGCTGACGTGGCAACTCACCAATGCCGTCGGAGGGGGTACCCGGAGATAGGTAGAGAAGGTAAGACCAGAGGGGGCAACAACATAGATGGGGAGGCTGGGTGGGAAGAATCGCCTAGATAAGGAGCCACTAATAAAAAAAAAGAACAGTTCGAACTTTGCAAAAAAAAATTCAAAAAATAAAAATCCCGACTTTTGCAAGTTCAGTTGGTCTCCCGGCCTCCCTTGAAGTTCGAAATAATCAATGAGAGAAAAAAAAATTCGACTTCAGACTGCAAATGATTTATAGAACTAACTAACAGAATCCTAGAACTGCGGAAAAAAAAATTCTGAAAAGAAATAAAGTATTCGGACTTACTTGGATGAGAGTATTCGCAGTTTGGAAAATAATACCTGCAGGAGGGATTTCCCGTACTGTTTCCAGAAAAACGAAATTCGAAAAAAAAAGATATTCTGAATTTCGAAGTATGTAATGACCCGCCAAAAACACAGACTGAGAACACTGCCGATTTCTGGGATTTGTCACTGGAATGGACGCGTTGTTGTGATTCCCGCATTCTGCTGTGGTTCCAAGTCTGTGTGTGTGCGTTCCTGCTGGTTGCATGCCTGTCTGAGTGCTTGCTGGTTGTGTGTGTGTGCGTGCATGCCTGTCTGAGTGCTTGCCGGTGGGGTATGTGGGTGTTTGACCCGCAAGGGTACTTGTTGGTTGGAAGGCCCACGGGGCCGGTACTTACCTGTGGCCGTGACTCTGGAGGGTTGCAGGGGGGTAAAACGCGCCGGTAGCGGGAGATAGGCCCACGGCACTTAGAGCAGCTGGGGAAAACACTCAAGTAGCAGGTAGGCCGAGCAGAAGAAGACAAAAAGTTGGCATTTTTAGAGGCCCAGTAGCGGTAGGTTGGGGGTAGGCCGGTACCAGTCCAAGTAGCCCGGGTCTAGGGCCWSTGCGGACAATAACAGAGCCTGCAATGATGTTTCCCTCCAAAAGGGAGGAGGTACCGGTTGCTTGGGAGGCCGCTTGGCCTGGAAAGTCACCGCCCAGGAGGCCGGTAGGCCACTATATCTTCAGGAAGAGCGGAAGGCTCTTCCTCATTTGCGGTATGCAAGGATTGGCGACATGCTGCTGGAGCGCAGCGCTGGTCTGAAGCAGCGCTGCTTGGAGGTGAAGGTCTGTTGGGGCTCAGCCTGGCTATGGCGAGCACCCCAGCTTGAAGGAGGAAGAAGGGGGACATGGTAGGAGAGTGGTAGGGCACTTACCTGGCTATGGTGGACACCGTCTTCACCACCTTGTTGGGCGCTGCATCTGGAAGGCCCCAGGGCAGCTCGAGGCAGGGTCAGGCATAGCGGACCAAGTCAAGCAGCGACATAGCTGCATTGAGTTGTCTTTCGGGCATCAGGGCAGCATCATAGCTGCCTTCCAGTAGTCCGCCATGGCCCATGCTTGAGAGAAGAGGTTGAAGGAGGGAAGACATAGCCATGGTGGACTTGTTGCTGTTGTTGTTGTTGTTGTTGTTGTTGTTGTTGTTGTTGTGAGTGGAGTCAGCAGTAAGGGGGAACTTCGGACATTGATTCTGGTTCATCCATTCATTGTTATTATTATTGTTGAGAGAAGAATAAGATTGGTGAAGAGGAGGAGGAAGGAGGAAGGTGGAGAGAGAAGGGGGAATTGTCATTGGTCTTGCTGGTGTACTTCTTCTTCTTCTTCTTCTTCTTCTTCTTCTTCTTCTTCTTCT